TTTGACTGTTATTTCGGCTGGCCACTTTCAAGCGGGAGGGTAATCGGAACATTAAGCATGAGATATATGTACGAGCGGGTAGCGGCAAAAACTGTGCCACTATATCGTCCCTCATCTATATGCTACTAGATCGGCGCTATATATCAGATCTAGATCTAGATGCATATTGAGAGAGATGTCGACTCCAATCAGCACCGATGATTTGGAGGATTTTCCAGACCTCATTTGATGGCATTCAGCCTCGAAAGTACTCTTCTGAACTCATGGAGTTCTCTAGCATGAGACGTAGCTCCCCATTTCGCCTGCTGACAGGCTATTTTCTCATAGTATAGACCCGCCTGGGTCGAGACCAACAAATCGTCCCGCTTGCCTGACGCACGTACTTAAGCAATGCTACGCACTGCTTATTTGCACGCGCGCAGACACGGACACAGACCAATCAGCCGCATGCTACTATGTACGCCCGTTTGCCTCTGCTGGGAGGGGGCAAACCCGACACGGGATCAGTAGCCCCGACTATCGACTCAGCCCATCCCAAACCATCCCATCAACATTGTCATGCTTCAATCCTCAAAATGATCTTTTTTTAACTAGACTTAGCCAAGCCCCGGTCGTATTCCATCCCGCCGGGCCTTGAAAAGAGGCTAGAATTGGCAACTACTATACTATGTAAGTCCAGCTGCCTGACTATAGATCATGCCACCACCACACGCCAACAACACTCGGATGCGGCAACGAAGTGATTGGGGATGTGGGCATACGCAACTAGCTCTATAAACTTGGCATTCAGTCACGATGACGAAGTAACAAATTATCCCCAATTCAGCACTCAGTATCATATAGCACTACACTGGGGTGTTCGTAGCGCTGAAAGGGGATATGGTTTCCCTTAGTTTTTATTCCTGAATAAATACATGTAAAGTAAATAAATCAGAGAGCTAAGCACGCTGTAACTGCTGCAATCAAGGGCAGCGAGGACTTTCATCGGGATCTAATGTACCCCTTAAGGTGGACTACGTCAACGCGTAAAAGCTATACCACCACCACCACCACCATCACTACCACAACCACCCTCTAGGGTTAAGTCGTAGCCTACAGCATGAATTAAAAAACCGGTAAATTGTCGTATAGTCCATTTGCCCCCGTGCTGCCCGAGTTTGCCATCACAAGCGAGCTGCAAAGTAAGTAGGTACACAAGCTTGGCAGCCTATGGCAACCAGATCGGAATTAAGCGCGTGCGACCTTTTGGAACACTACCGGTAGAGAAAGGGAGGCAGGTCGTCATTTGCCAATAGCAATTTGAGCGTGTTCTCGGAAGCTTGACGCGTGGTCGGCAATTTCCCCTACGGCGGCGTTGCATAGGAGTTTCCTTATTCCAGGCAGTTTGATCTAATGGCCAACAGAACGTCAGAGTGGTGGTTTTATTTAGTGTGGTCGAATGATACTCACTCCCCGCTTTTCTTCACTTGTGTTTTGTCGTACTTCGTGTTCCTCTGCTGGATGGTGAAGTCAATTCGTTCCTGTCGCATAGTAAACGTGACTAGTGTAAAGAAGACGAACCACTCCGGTGAGCTATCGGAATAAATTCGTCAACTACGCGAACCGGGATACTGGCTACCTACCTTGTACGAGATGTGAAATGATTTGTCTTATAGATGTTTAAGCGCCCAGGAATGATTAGCCGGTTCGCGTAGAGTCGGATGTTCATGGTCACAATACTCATTCTGTAGTCTCTTTACTGGTAGTTCGGTACCCTACTTCTAAATATACAGACAATAATTCGGTTCATCTTATGATCTTCAACCAGGTATCGTTCAGGCTTATGCAAAGCGGTACAGTTACCACAGATATTTCCCGCGACTAAATCTCTAGCGAAAACCTCAACGTCCATCAGCTGATACCAACCCAAACCCACGTCTGCTGCGAGTTACCTATTAACACTAAACCCTCGTGACCCATATACCAGACTATAAATCTGGAATAGTCATGACCTGTTTGCACAATATGAAGCGGTGGCAATGGACTATTGGCAAAGCTCGTTTGTACAAACTTAATCGTATATATTATGAAGTACATGCCTCAAAGGAATGTGAGCATACAAGCAGATCAAATTCGTCACCCCATCGCCAAACAATCTGCACGTACCCGTGTCGTTAATGAGCCACTTCCGTCATACAAACGTGTACAGACAAATCTCACAAACAGGTTAAAAGATGCCCAAAGACTTGGTTCTTCGCAGGCCGAGAACCATATTACTATGAAATAGGGATCAAAGTCTATGCGCACGGCAAGCAGTAACCATAGGAGGTTCTTCGATACCACTTTCCTTTCCACCTCTATTTATCCTTTATCGTTCTGGTAACTCGCCTTCGGGAACAATAGGCTATCCCTGACTTCCAGTCTGACCCGTTCCCGTTACGAATCTCACCCCCAGTGCTAATATTCCACTTGTACCCGCGAGGATAAGGAGGACGGCGCTCGAATTCGAAGTATCTGTGTACAAGAATTAGTCAGTAACGACAGATTATTCGCCGTCTTAGGTAGTCGTATGCTCAAATTCCTATCCAAGGGCCGCCTTCATACTGTCTCCCCCTTTCAACGCGTGTCCTACAAGCTAACAAGTTGGCACCTCGCACAAAGATACTCCCTTTTCTTCTTAAAATTTCCGTAGCTAGACAGCGCAGGTCTTCTTTTGTGTCCGTGTGACGGGAATCCCGCTTCCCCCGCCCCTGTTTCGTCTGTCTCTGTGTACCCGTCGGTATTCCTCTGTCTGTGTATCTGTACCCCCATTTCCAACTCTCCTGCTCGCATCCATCTTCGTATCTGGGCTAATGATATCCTTCCGTTTTCCTAGCGCCGCCCAAGAAAGAGATGGCTTTAGAGAAGAAATTTCTTTTTCTGTTTCTACATATTTGCAACGTTCCTGCTGTGACCTCTTCTCTGCTGCCTGCTCACTCGTCATCTCTGAGTCAGCCGAGATTAACATCAAGGCACAAAGGGGACAAAGCACATTCCGGACCCCAATCCATCCCGCTCTGAGGAGAGATACGTACTAATATTGCAAGAGAAATAGATAGAAAGAGATAGATACAGTTATCACGACGATGGCCTAGCGCACAGACTGAGTACACGTAGGCATACATACGCGCCAGGGGTGGCTTACAATGCATGTATGTATCCACCCGGGTTGCCTACCTGCCTACCCGCCCGCTCCCAGAATCTAACAGTATATTCCACCGGAGATGCACACGGCGGAAATGGATAGTCGCTTTCCCTTTACATGCCCGTATATACGCCCGTGCCGGCCGCCGAATGGGCGCGGGATTAACGCAACGCAACATCGTCTAACTCTTGGCTTCTTGCTCGGCAAAAGTTGCTGATAGGTAGGGAGCATAGTAATGTATTACTGTAGAATTGAAGAGTGTAGGATGTTGTTATTAGTTGTTAAGATAGTTTAGCTGTCTGGTGCCAATAGCTATGAACTGAGTTGTTGTTGGCGATTAGGAGTCTGGAATGAGTTGTGGAACATTAGCATCATAGACTTGGACTCTTGTTCGCTTTATTTAGTTCGAGAGACTTTTTCAGTTGACCAAACGGAATTGTAATCGAGTAAACTCCATTTCTATATGAACCAGAGTGTATTATAGGTTATATTAGTTGCAAAATAACTCGTGGTTGGAGGGTTTCTCAAGTTAATTTCATTTCGTAATTTGTTAATAGAATATATAGTCATCAGAAGAAGTTTGAAGCCTAAACTACAAAGGTAATACTTTTATATTATCACTCAGTACAGAATTCAGTGGTATCTATAAACAAAATCATCGAGCTTCGTTATCAACTTGAAAAGTTCCTATCTCAGTTATGAAACTGTACGAGACTCAGATGAATATTCAAGAGATTAATATAAGTTGCCCAGATTGCAAACTTTATCAAATACACAAAGGAAGCCAGAGAGAGTCGAATGTATGGGCTTTGAAAGGCGGATAACGCCGTCCTGCGTGGAGAGAGTCGTCCAACTCATTATGTTTGTGTTTTGCTGAGAGGGCGTCAGCTTATTCAATATCTAATTTTAAAAATTACCCTAGACGCATGTTCAAACAACTGTATCACATAACTAGACACACACCAATACAATTCAAATCAGAAGAAAGTCTTTGTCTATTTGTCTATTGCAATATATTACCCCGCGCTACTCAGGAAGTAAATGAATGAAGCCCGTGGCTTGACTCGGTCTTTGATATAACAGTAACATTTACTACATTAACGCCACGTCTGAGGCGGCACAAATGCTTATCGTCCTTCGACGCCGTGTCACGTACCTCGCAATCGTCACACAGCCAGCTCTAGCGTCCGCAAGTTTCCAGGTGGGCGGTAAGCCGCGGACACATGCGGGTAAATGCTTAACCAAGCAGAAGCTTCCTCCTGCACCTGATCTCTCAGTTTATTCAAGCCTTGCTCCTCCTGATCTCATGTATCACAGTAACTATTAATTGTCCAATATCTGCAAGTCTTGTGCTTATTTGTGTAAGCATTGGCGGAGCAAATCTTATATAATCAGAGCTCTGTGGATGCTTCGGGGACAAACAATCTTGAGTTCGACACTGAGGCCGGCATGCAGTGTTTGAAAACCTTACGGCCGTTGTGAGGCATGGTCCTTTTACAGGACAAGCTTTCTATCATGCCTTGGGCGCAGGCAATGTAAGGACGCACAGCAGTTCTTACGCATAGGCATCCTAGGTTACACAAGCTTTGCTCTCCCGGGTACTTGGTGTACTACAGCCGATATTTGAACGTTACCATGCCAGTACTGAATGGGGTATAGATAGCGACGGTAATTATTTAAGCCAAATAATCGACAGGCCCGTGATTCATCGAAGAAAGAGAAGCTCTTGTAGAAGATCATGTGAAGAAAAAGAGGAAACCCAATATATTGACTCAATGTTAAGTAATTTCTCCTATCGAATACACTATACCCTCGAAACACTAGAATTTTTGGGCTACATGGGAACAGATATCGCTTACTTCTTATCCCCTATTCTCACACTCCAACTGGCTGACATTGCCCACTAAGGTTAAGAGGTGATCTAGATAGCTATGTGCTTCTGTCTTACCCCCGGAAGATTCTTCCTCTCGTAGACCTGTCAGTCGTGAGGAAATAATCAATTAGACGAGTATGTCTCGGGGCCTGACCTGGCGTGAGGCAGGCGAAATCCCCAGAGACAGACAAGTACAAGGCGAGACAAGACAAAACAAGACATAGACAAATTATCCCGTCTTCCCCCTTTCTTGCCCTACCGACGATGTTTTAAAGTGACCTGACATAATATTCCTTCTCGTACCCACCCCCACAAACCTAGATTTCGCGTAAAACCACCCAACCATGCCTTTCACACAAGCAAACAGCACTCGACAAACAAACCGCTAGTCGGAGCCGGCGGAGTATACCGAGAAGAAGAAGAGAGAAGGGCGTAACACAGCGACACCACACAAATCCCCCTTCGCCCCTTTCGCTGTCTCCGAGATGCACACAGACACAAAATACATAGACACAGACACAACAAAACACCATACCAGACCCCGAAAGAACACAGATCTCGCCTGTCTGTCAGACGTTATGGCGAATTTGTCGAGAGTCAGCTGACCTCTTTCCCCCGACCTATCAGGGCCGTCCACTTATACATTCCCTACTCCAATACACAACGACCTTGACCCTTACTCCCAACGTACAGACTACGACACAAACAGACATACCATACAAGTCTGACGTGATCCGGCAATGCGGCGTCACCATACATACATATATACGTGACATTACACGTTCTACGACGATGACGCCGGGGGATGTGCGGGTCGAACAGCCCTGAGCGAGGAGATGAAAATTACAGAAAAAGTCAGCATATTACGTTAGCCAGGGAGGTGTATTACTCATTACCTCCTGGCTGCGGTAGGTGAAGACATGGGACATCAGCTAAGCAGGTAACATACAGCCCCCTATACGTGCCTCTTTCAGAGCACCGACCCATGCAAATATTCCACATGTCCTAGCATCCATACGTCTATTGAAATGTGTTGGCAGTGCAATATACGCGTTGTAGGTTTCTAAGCTTAGAAGACATGTCCTTTCTTACTAATAAAAGGGGGAGAAACAAGGTTTGAAAGTGAATAGTCCGCATAGAATGTAGATGGAGGGTTCAAGACATGCAGCGTCTTTTAGGGGCTGAATACTTCCCAACTTACTAAGGCAGAAGTTCAATTCATATCAAGACGTCTGATGACATCTAATATCTGTTTCCGTATTTTGACGATGTATAATATCTCTACACGGGCACTACATCAGACAAGGATACTGCTAAATCATCATAGTGAGAAACTTGAGTTGGATAATTAGCGCATGTTACTCGCTCAAATGCTAAATTACGTTATTGCTCGCTCCGCAAAGTTTAGTGTATAGTGTACTCTGTAATCCGCCGTCACGCTCCATCTAGCATGCAGCACTTAGATACCTATATAGATATATCCAAAAGGGCGCCCTTACCTCAACACGCAAGTGGCATGATGGGAGGGGAAAAGATACAAAGTCAAAGCATGCCGTGCAATGCAAAAGATAACGCTTGTGCAGATACAAATGATACAAGGTGTTTCTTAAGGGGCTGAGAGAGAGAGAGATGGGCTGGTTTCTGCGCATTACAAGCGTGCTCGGACTGAAGGCAAATTGGCCTCATTAGGCCACTGCGCTTCGGGCCACACGTGACGAATGGCCTCCCAGATATGGCTAAAGAAAGACAAGGGTTAGCGAGGCCGAGGTCCTAGATACGGCATGATAATATCCGCAGATGAATAAGAGATATGGTAACATACCTGACGTAGTGGATCGTGAGACCATCCCTTACTTCGGCGGGTACTTCTCGGGCGTCCTTTTCATTCTGAGCTGGGAGGAGCACTGTCTTGACACCGGCTCGATAGGCTCCAATAAGCTTCTCCTTAATTCCTCCGACCCTCTTGACATGGCCAGAGAGTTGAAACTCGCCCTAACTTCGATGTTAGCGTGCGTCATCGGCACATATTTGAGACTTATATGACACATACCGTCATTGCCATGGTCGGCGGAACAGGTCGCCCCGAAAAGAGTGAGATGAGTGCAATAGCTTGGGCCATGCCACTTGAAGGTCCGTCCTTGGGAACTGCCCCAGAAGGGCAATGGACGTGTAGGCTACGATTCTTCATGATGTTCTCCGTGGGCTCGCGCGTGAGCCCCAACTCATAGGCGTGATTCCGCACCCAGCTCCTAGCAACCTTGACACTTTCCATGAGAACTTTGCCCAAATTGCCCGTGAGTTCCACACTGCCATCACCTGGCATATCAAGGACCTCTATGAACAGGATACCCCCGTTACCACCGGAGCTATAGGCCACAAGACCTGTGACAATGCCTGGCTGACTGGCTTTCTCCGCGATTTCATCCTCAAACCTTTCTATCCCTAGAATAGCTTCAAGGTCTTCAATCGTCAGATCTGCTCGGTATGTCTCAGGCTGACCTTGATCGTTCGCTTCAACGTATTCAACAGCCTTGGCACGACAAACAGAGCCAATTTCCCGCTCTAGATTCCGAACCCCTGATTCGCGCGTGTACGACTCGATGATCTTAGATACCACCCCATCGCTAAACTTGACCTGATCTTCTTGAAGTCCATTAACGCGGATTTGCTTGGGAACGAGGTGGCGCAGTGCGATGTGGCGCTTCTCAAGAGTCGTGTAGCCAGAGAATTCCAGGGTTTCCATGCGGTCCAGTAACGGACCAGGAATTGTATCTAGACTATTTGCTGTGGCAATGAACAAAACTTTGCTAAGATCGATAGGGATGTTCACGTAGTGATCGGTGAATGTGTTATTCTGCTCAGGGTCAAGGACTTCCAACATAGCAGCTGACGGGTCACCGTTATGGTTCGCCATACCCAGCTTGTCGATTTCGTCCAACAAGAAGACAGGGTTGCCAACCCCAACTTTCCTGAGACCTTGCACGATCAAACCGGGCATTGCAGCTACGTATGTCCTACGATGCCCCCTGATCTCTGCCTCATCCCTGACACCGCCAAGTGAGATGCGGTGGAACTTTCGCCCAAGAGCTGTGGCGATTGATCGGGCTATGCTCGTCTTGCCCACACCCGGAGGGCCAACTAGTAGTAAGATTGGTGCCCTCTCGGTTCGCCGTTTGCTTTGGAGCATCTGGACCTTGAGACCGCTCGCCTTAATCTTCTCCTCCAACTCTGACTCAAGAGCGGCGTTATCCTTTGCGGCCGATTCCAAATCGGCCGTTTCTTGCTCAGCTTCCTTGACTTGTCGATCAACAGCCTCATTGGCGGACTGCATCAACCTTACGATGGTAAGGTACGACAATAAGCGTTTCTTTACTTTCTCTATTCCGTAATGATCATTATCTAATTGCCTTCGCGCGGCTTCAAGAGTACCGGTACCAATCGGGTCGTCAGTGACGATAGACCAGGGTATCTCCGACAAGGTCTCGAGATATGTCCTGACCACTTGGTACTCGGCCTGAGCAGGCATCATTTGCTTGAGTCGTTTGAGCTCTCGTTCGGCAACCTTGGCCGCCTCAGCGGGTAGCTTGGCTTCTTCAATCTTCTTCTCGAGTTCCTGTAACTCATCTGGGTCTTGCTGTTCGGCTTGTCCACCTCCAGGCATGCCGTTGAAGTTGAAGCCTGCTGGTGGGCCACCAAGTCCAGGGATTTGAATCTTCTTGATATTTCGCTTATTCATCTTGTCCATATCTTCCTGGTCAATACGGATTGGTATAGCGGTGCTTGTTACCGTGGTGACGTTGATATTGCCCTTAATATCGCCCACTTGTCGCTCCATCAGTTCAATTACCTTCTCCATTCGCTTACGAACATCGACAGCAGCTAAAACTTGAAGCTTATCCTCGTATGAAGCTTGAACTACATTCATCATAAAATCGGCAAGGGCGCCACCCTCTGCCGGTTGTTTTCGCATTATGAATTGCTCTAGCCTTCGCGAAAGGAGCGGGTTCAGGCCCGCAGAATGGCTCGATAGGAGGAATGCTGATACTCGCAGGTAAGAAACAAGCTCCCGCGAAAGGCGCTTTAGGGTTTCGAAAAGCTCTTGGTATTCATCACTATTAAGTTCAGGGCCGACGGCGTCACCATGGGTCTTGACCTTGGCCTCGAAGAAGGGCTGGTCTTGGGTGACCTTTTCGACGGAGACGCGCGAAATGCCATGAACCAGAAGGATGAATTCGGCGCCATTCTGGCCCTGGATTCCAGTTATTTTAGCCGTGACACCGTAGTCATACAGCCGGTCCTTTCTCAAATTCCTACTGTCTGCCTCTAGCAAGTCAATGTATTTCTCCTCGTCTTTTTCCAGTAGCAGTTTTTGGCCTCGTCGGTTCAGCAATGGACTGTTGAGGGGCACGCAAGCGATAGGAACCTGGTCAACGCGTCTCGAGCCTTTCGAGGCGGTGGTATAGACGTTCGAGATAAGGGCCGGTATATCGGAGCGACTTGGAGGGACGGGTATACGCAAGACAGAGCCGGGGAACAGAACCGTGGCCTTAGCTAGCGGAACGAGGGGAACGACTGCCGATTGCGATGCGGGCGCCATCGTCTGGGTATCTTCCCTTGCGTTGTTGTGGCCAATTGTTGATGCACACGGTATGCGTCTATGTGGCAAGGCAAGGCAAGGCTAGGCACTGGCTGGGGAGAGCGAGCCGGATGCCGTTCGGAATGGAATACGAAGGATGCGGGAAACGGGAATTATTACAAAGTCTAAAAGATTTGATGGAAAGACAAGGAAGAGTAAGACGAATGGTGATGATTAGGTGGTGATGTTCCAATGGCGTTAAGGCCTGGGATGATGATGGACTGAGAATGGGGTCAAGGTCAAGGATCAAGTCACAAGCTCGGTGCACGGATCGGGGCCTGGGGAGGTCTCGGTCGTCACTGCCAGTCGGTCAGTTTAGTCTAGAGCTGCGCGGCGGCGGCGGCGATGGGGCCTTGGTTCAGTCTGGTTAGGGGGCAGAGGGGAGACTTACCGAGGCTTGGTTAGGCCGCTGGGAATCGCCACGCATAAAGAGGGTCATTTCCGGGAGTTCACCACGTGATAATAGTTGCTCTCGTGTCTACGATTTCATATGGGCATATAGAGTATACTTATATGTGACTGAACTGGCCTTATGGGATTTGAAAATTATCGTGACAATCTCTATCATATTGTCTTGCGGAATCTTACTAATCTTACTTAACAACACTGACCTACATCATCTAGGTACCTAGGTACATGTAAGACGTGCTGTAGCGGATTCAGCTGCCTGCTGACAGCGCCCCCTTTCTGCAGCGGGGTATTTAACAACGGCCTTGAGTGATGGATGCCTGAGCCCGCAGCGCACCCGCAGCACAACCCGCCTAAGTAAGAGATGGACCCAGTAATGCTTTAGGTAGGTTCGGGTAGGTATGCTTAGCTGCTTAGCGGTAAGGGCTCTGGTAAGGGAAATCAATTAACGCGTCTAAACTTCTCCATCACGCGTCTGCTACCCGACCTACCTACCCACCATCTAAACTCCTTACCTACATCCTCGACCACCACCACCATAATCGTCACAACGTCGCAGAGTAAGGCCATATCCGATTTCGTCATACAATCAAGAAGCAAGAAAACAGACAAGGAAACAATGAGCGGTTCGTAATCACTCAGTATATCACCACTACAAATTTCCAATGCTAACAGAACATCTATCACGGTAGCATACGGCGGGTACTCGACGACATCCTATGGTGCCGCGGGGGGTGACAATGACGGTGGTTTCATGTGGGGTTCTCAAGGCGGCGGCAGCCAGTCCGCCACGAAGGTATACACACACACACCCATATACCATCTCGAGATGAAGATCCCATGAACTAACCCCAAACCCCCGCACCGCCAGACCGTCAACGACGAGTCCCTCCGCCCCGTAACAATCAAGCAAATCATCGACGCCGAGCCCGCCTACGCCGGCGACGCCACCTTCCGGATCGACGGGCTGGACGTAAAACAGGTGACCATCGTAGGCCAGGTGCGCGCCATCATGCAGCAGACGACGAACATCACGTACCGCATCGACGACGGCACAGGCACGATCGAAGTAAAGCAATGGCTCGACGCAGACAAGCAAGAATCCGCCTCGGATTCCGGCCCCGCGTTCCGCGAAGAAGACTACGTGCGCGTATGGGGCCGTCTCAAATCCTTCAGCAACAAGCGGCACGTCGGCGCGCACGTCATCAAGCCCGTGCGCGACTTCAACGAGGTGAACTACCACATGCTCGAGGCGACCTACGTGCACCTATTCTTCACTCGCGGCGGGCCCCCGCAAGACGGCGGGATGGGTATGGGTGGAGGCGGTATGCCCGGGGGAGACGACAGCATGTTTGTTGACGACGGCAACGATGCGCGGTATCGGGGCTATGGGCAGAAGGCGAAGAAGATGTTCGACTATCTCTCACGCAGCGGCAATCCGACCGAGGGCGTACACATGCAGGTTATCTCGCGCGAGGCCGGCATGACGATCCAGGACGTCATGACCGCGGCCGAGGAGCTGCTGAGCCACGGCACGATTTACACGACGATGGATGACGAGACTTTCGCCATTTTGGAGCGGTAAATCTTTTTTTTTTTTTGGGGGGGGGGGGGGGGGGGGGGGTAAAAAAAAGTATAGAAACACGAAAGCCGGGCCCGTTAATGACGGGAGAGGAGTTATAAAAAAAATACTGGCCCGGTGGGAGGCCGG